TGGAAAACCCCTTAAATATCATGTAATCTTTGAGAATTGGCCTTGGATACAACCCACACATACATCAGGTGAACCTGTATACGGAATTAATGTCTTTACTGATGCCACAAAGATGAATAAGGCTTCTATCTGGTGCCCTAAAAGAAAGGAATTACAGGTGATTAATACACCTTTTACCTCCACACAACAGAATGAATTATATGCTGTCTATTGTGCCTTTCACAAATATAAGGAGCCAATGAATATCATCACAGATAGTAAATATGTAAAAGGAATCCTAAAACACCTAGAGACTGCAATAATAAAAAATACTGGTAATAATATCTGTCAGTTGCTTCATGATATACAACATTATATACAGAATAGGACAGAAAAATTTTATGTTTTGCATGTTCGGTCCCATACTCTTGCTCCAGGACCAATTTTTGAAGGTAATGATTTTGTTGATAAATCTTTAACAATGAATGTGGAAATAGCAAGGAATAGTCATAATCAATTACATTTATCTGCTAGGTCTTTAAGAACTTTATATGGCATAACAAAATCACAAGCACGTGAAATTGTTAAGCGTTGTGCTACTTGTGTGTCTTTTCAGCCCCCTTTTCACAACCCCAAGGGACTTACACCTAATGCCTTATGGCAAATGGATGTTACTCATTCTTCTCCCTTTGGAAGACAAAAGTATGTTCATGTTTCTATTGATACTTATTCAGGCTTTATTTTTGCTACTGCTCAAGCGGGTGAGGCTGTCCGCTATGTTATTAATCATTTGCTTCATTGTTTTTCTTTCGCTGGCCCACCTCAATGCTTAAAGACTGATAATGGTCCTGCATATATTTCACAGGGTTTTAAAAAGTTTTGTACTGAGTTCTCTATTAGTCATACTACTGGCCTTCCTTATAATCCTTGTGGTCAGGCCATAGTTGAACTCGCCAATCGTACATTAAAGATGGTGCTCCAAAAACAAAAAGGGGGAGCTAAGGGATCCCCATGGCATCAATTAAACACTGCACTCTATACTATAAATTATTTAAAATTCGACAGTTGTAACCTCTCTCCTGCAATGAAATATCTGGCAGGAAATGACAACAGTACTAGTGACACCACTAAATCAAACAAATTCCTTTTTCCTAAACACAATATGAAAGTCATGTGGAGAGACGTTGATGGTGTCTGGCAGGGCCCAGGGCAAGTGCTAACCTGGGGGCAAGGGTTTGTTCTTATTTTCACAGGTGATGGAGAACTTTGGGTCAGAATGAAGGATGTCCACATTATCCATTCAGAAGGGACAAGGCAAGCAGAAAAGAAAACACAGACCAGCCAGGAATCGAAGGAGTCAAAAGAATAAGAAGAAGGCACTGCACGAACTTGTAATCAAGCTGTGACTCTTGTCGTTATTGTCAGTGGTACAGAACACAGCAGCAGAGACAGGAAATACAACAAGATGGACTTTTGTGACAAAATCACCATGGCCAAGACTGGCTACATGGGGAGAGACAATACCTGAGGTTATTTTACAAGAGAATGCATCTGCAGGATTGGGGAAGGAATTTAATTTTACACCTCAAAAGAATGGGTCAATTACAGTAAAGTTTAATTTTCAAAGATTGGTATGAGTCATGTTCTGATCATATTTTTGGAATAATAGACCAAAGAAATCAATTAGCAATTGTTAGGAAGAAGAGATGTATTTCATGTGTAGTATTAGGAATTGTATCGCTTATAGCTATTATAACTGCTTCTGTATCTTTATCTCAATCTATATCTATTGCAAGAAATGAAATGGTTCAAGCTGATTTTATGAATCAATTAGCTCGCAATGTATCAAAGGGTTTTCAAGCACAAAAAAGGATAGATGAGGGATTTTACCACATACTTGAGGGAATGAAGGAAACCATTATTGAAATAGGTGATGAATTGGATATTTTAGAATATAGAACACATTTGAAATGTGATTATAGGTATGAATTCATTTGCCTTACCAATGTTAAATACAATGACTCCCAATGGGAGTGGCAGAGAATACGTAGACATCTGAATGGGCTATTTGGGAATTCTACTGTTGCATTGGATATTGATGATTTATATAAAATTGCTGATGATATTGCGAGGGCGGCTGATGAAGATTTGATGCCAGATAAGACTGCCCAACATATACTTGATTGGCTAGATGAACTCCGTAACCCTTTTGATAACCTTGGACATTGGCTTATGTCTTTATTATCTTCTTTATTGCCATTATGTTTGCTATTGCTGGCCATGCTGTGTTTTGGACCGTGTTTGCTCAGGTGCATTGCTAATCAGATAAAGGACTTTGGGACTGAGCTTCATATGCTCTGTCTCCCACAAGAACAAAAAGGGGGAGTTGTTGGGGATCTGTAAGGATGTAGAGGGCCACAGGCTGTTCATGAGGTCTCACTGATGGGCGGAGGCCCCTCTCGGGTGACTGATCTATGGGCAAGTTGCCTGGTTCGGTGCTCCATTCTATGCATCTCTAACTTCCCTAGTTACTCATTAGTCATTAACAGTGTATTTGTGATTGGTGGTAGGTAAGTGCACGGACTGTGCATGCACTGTCCTTGAACACAGCATGGGTTATACATCATTGTAACTTGAGAAAGAGTTCCTGTTATTTTACTATATAAGTAAGTGCTTTGCTAAAAATAAACGGAGTTGCTGCCATCTTTTCTCCCGCCTCATCAATGTGTGCTGGAGTGAAAGATCAAGCTGGTCTTGATTCTTCAGGTAATTGGGAAATCCTAGGTCCTAGGTAGGCTCTGTAGCCGAGTGAAGTAGTTGTGCACAATAGCTAAGGGAATCAAATTTTAGTATATCTAAAAGAGAGTGGAAGACTGCAAGTGATTGGAAAAAAACCATAAAAGATTTATTTCTACAGAATTGTAAGCAAGACATAAGCAAGTACTGACCAGGATGTCTACTTCCTCATCTGTATGAAATCTTTATGTAACTGATCTGCAAAAATGAGCAGGCTGGACTAGGGCCTGTGTATGTAGTCTCTTCTAGCTCCAGAGCAATGATCCTATGACCTACACAGATACAAAAAGTATCTCTGATGAAAATACGATAAGGGAACAGGAAGGCTTTTGCAATTGATTTTCTAAGAGAGACCACATCTTCACAGTGAAACAAAAAATTGAAATGTGAAGAGAATAAAGACCATGTCACATTGACTGAGTGCTGTTTATAAAAAACAAATTTGAATTCAGTAGACCAAGATGCATCTGAAGTATCTTTTATGAATATGCTAAAATCACATATGACTTTTTGATAAATGTAAGCACAGAGATAGCTTTGTTCAACAAATCTCTGATATCAATGTGAAATGAGGCAGAAAAACAAGGAGATGCATGCTCACCAAAGCCATCTACTACAATCATGGATGATGTTCTGAATGGAGTCCAAATGGAAGAGGAATTCCCTCCTGAAGGTGAAGTCCTACAGAGACTTCTGTTTGGGGATGATATAGTGCTGAATCCCTCAGTACTTGGAATAACTACAGGGCTAGCTCACTGAGATCCCTGGCCACTCAAAAGAGATAAGTTTAATGACTGATACAGGAAAAACCAAATGGATAAAGAATACTTATTGTCTAAGGATATAATAAGCAGTTGGAAGTCCCATCCACTGGGTCAGTTTATCAGTATATCTGGCTTGGACAGAGCTTAGAATTGAATAGGAGGAAGAGAACTGGCTGGACTGCCTTTGAGAAATGAAGCATCGCTTTCAAGAATTCTTAGTTGTCATCTGACACAGAAATTCACCTTTGGGTCAAGGCTGAATGGGTCTGTGAGTCATGGAGCACCACAATCTCCAAAGAATCCAAACTGTGGGCAATCCAAAGGACAATGGAAATATGCACAGCAGGTATGACTAGGCTGTAGCATATTACCAATTAGGATCTATGTGTGAGAATTAACGTAAAGTATATCACCCGGGAAATGTATGATCAGAAAACGTGATGCCTCCATCAGTGGTGTTAAGATGCAATAGAAACAGATCTGGGCAGCCTGCAAGTTGACTTAGAAAACCACAAATTAACATTATCTGTGTTGTATTATATTTGGACTATGAGTCTGACACCTCTGGCCTTGGTCATACGACAAAAGCAAGGGATGAACAAACTGACTCGGTGCTTCACTGGTACCCAGAGAATTCCAAAAGACCCAGAAAATGGCCTCTAGCACAATGAGCAGTTCATCTATGGAGGACTTATGTGAGCACATAGACAAGAATGACATAAAGACGAGAAGGCCAGGACACACAGCCTTGTATTGCAAGCACAATGCCTTGCACACAGTAGGTACCAAAGAGATGTTTGTTGAATTGAAGTGAAATGAAGGTACTAAAGAGATCATAGATCTACTGAAGTATTAAATTATAACACTATAATATTTTACATTTGTGGGTTGATTTTTTTTTAATGTATATCAGAGATACAGTATTGGTGCAGTAGAATGAGTATTGGGCTTTGAGTCAGAACACTTAGTTTTGAATCTGAAGTCTGGGCAAGTCGCTTGACCTCTCTAAGCCTCAGTTTCCTCATCTATCAAAAGTGTATTCTAACAACTTGTATTACCTGCCTTACAGGGTTGTTGTGAGGAAAACGCTTTGTCAGCCTGAAAGAGCCAATGAAATGTGAACCCAAATGTGAACTCGAATGAGAGCTGCTGTTTGATACCTATTTGACAGAGGCGGAAACTGGGCTCAGGTAAATTAAGTGACTTGCCTGAGGTCACAGGGTTAGCTAGTGACAGAGCTGGGATGAGAACGCTGATCTTTTGACTCCACATTCAAGGTTCTTTCCACAACACAGCTATTGTTAAGCGAATTAAAAAACTGAGTAGCAGACAGGCTTTTCAATGTCAAACTCCCTTCATGTGGTAGAAATTGGTACTCTGTACCACCAAGTCATTTCAAGAAAATATCTCAACTCAATAGTTGCAAGGACAAACAAGGGACAATGGCAGAGAGTTACTTACATATAACCTTTGAATTTACTGAGGTTATTGTTAGGCTTCTCACACACAATCTTGCTCTGAAAGAGTTCTGGTTCAAACCGAGGCTCCTGTAAGAAAGATTACACCATGAGTTTATCTCATTGGATGGACCCAGTTTCTAATAGGATCATCAGACAAGCTAATCACTATTAGAACCATTCCAAATTAGCAGCCCAGCAAGGGGTAATCTCTTCTTTGTCATCATCTGAGAGTTCTAATACAGTGGAAGAAAAAGTTAAATCTTCATTATGGGAGAGAAAAGTGACCAAAATCACCAATGTGTACTTGAGAGCCCAGAAAAGTATACAATAGGGATTGTCTAGCCTAAGACCTACTGCATGGCCTGTTGGGGTTAGATCTCTTAAGATCCTCCCTCCCATTTTTAGGATAATCTAGTATAATAGGAAATATACAAGTGTGGGAGGCAGGAAACTTTGCAAAGCCTGCTATATGTGATAAAGAGTCTCTGCCTAGGTAGTGGAGATAAAAAGATTTTTTAAAAAATGACTCTGCCTTCAAGAAGTCTCTGCCTTCAAGGAATCTGCATGCTTTTGGATGGGGTTGGGGAGGTATGTGACTAGTGTCAGGTATGAAATAATAGGACAAAGGGGAAAATCATTCAATGACCTCTAGGGAAATTTGAGGGAGAGATTGCTACCCAGAGTTGGGGAGGGACTGGAGAAGGCTACGTGGAGGAGGCGGTACCTGAGCTGAGCCTTAAAGGTACCTGACAGGTGACCATAAAGAGTGCTTTATTTGGTCTCTTGGCCTGAGTTAGAGCAAAGATCCAGGTCTGAGGATTTACAAAAAAACTGGTACTTGAGAAGCTAGTACAAGCATGAGCTTTATTACTATATAGCACAGCAAGCAGGCAAAACCAAAAGCACACACACACACACACACACACACACACACACACACACACACACACACTATATGACAACGCAGACAGAGATTTGGCCACACACGGGGCCGGGGTCACTCATGTAATGGAAGCAATCATTTACCATGGAAGTATATTCTTAGAGTGGGTCTGAGCAGGAAAGTTTTATACCTTAAAGATGAGCTTGACTGAGGACAAATAATCGATTTCAGATGTGGGAGGTGACATTCTGAACCACACTTAGATGTGGTAGTGAAATGCCCCAAGTCACTTATTGATACCAGAGTTGGGTAGAGGAGTTTCCCAATTGGGACCAGAAGTTGGGTGAGGGTCTGAATCTTTAACGGGAAACCCAGAAATGGGTGTTGGTGTGGAGCTTCCCCTAATCAGAAGCCAAGATCATTTATGTGTTTGTCACATGGTCAGAAGGAGTCAGGATAGTAGACAGAACAGGACAATTCAGGTTATCATTGCTTATTGCTTATGGTCATGAGGACTACTTAGCCGAAGTGACTCCAGATTGGATTTCTATCGCTTATAGTTCCAATATCAAACAATATATTTCAAAAATCCCAGTTTTCAAGAGGAGAGAGTATATGAATTCCAACACAGGCTTGTAGAAATGGACTGAGGGAGGAAACGGCATGTTGAGTTGGTGGAACTGTTATAAACAGTTCCATTTCGACTGGAATGGAACCTGTGTGAAGGGGGTCAGGTAAAAAGTAAGTCGAAGCCATACTGTGTGGGTATGACCTTATGTGCCCTGTGATGAGAAGTCTGCACTCTATCATAGAGATAATAAGGAGCCATTGAAGCTTTTATTGTGAAGATAAAATACGATCATGAGATTTGAAAACACTTTGAAAGTCATTATACCTATATACGGTGGTGATAGTGGTGTTTTATGCATGGTGTAGTCAGAAATACGGAAAAAAAAGCTAGCATTTATATAGCACTTTAAGGTTTGCAAAATGCTTCATAAATATCTCGTTTCATCCTTTCAACAACTCTGGGAGTTAGATGCTGTTATTATTTCTAGTTCATAGATGAGGAAACTGAAGCAGGCAGAAGTGAAATGATGTGCTAGAATCACACAGCTAGTTAAGTAGATGAGACAAGATTTGAACTAGGGTCTTCTTGACACCAAGGCCTCTAGGTGGTGCAGTAGATAAGAGTTCTGGGCCTGGAGTCAAGAAGACTTCTCTTCCTGAGTTCATATCTGGCCTCAGACACTTACTAGCTGTGTGACCCTGGGTAAGTCACTTAACCGTGTTTGCCTCAGTTTCCTCATCTGTAAAATGAGCCGGAGAAGGAAATGGACAGCCACTTGCGTATCTTTGCCAAAACCCCCCCTTTAAATTGGGACATGAAGAGTCGGACACAATGGAACAACCACCGATTCCAGCTATCGCTCTCTAATTCACTCTATCCTCTGAACTCCTAGATGGTGTTTCTGAAATAGAGTTTATGAAGGGGGTTATTCTTGGGAGGCCCTTGAAATCCCAAGGCATGTAGTATGAAGGATAAATTTGTCACTAAGTTTCACAGGACACAGAAATGAAGGGCAAATAACTGGTAGCAAAGGCAGTGTTATCCTCTTTGAGTTTCTGTTTCCTCCTATCTAAAATGAGGATGTTAAGGGGCAGCTAGGTGGTGAAGTGGATAGAGTTCCAGCCTTGGAGTCAGGAGGACCTGAGTTCAAATCCAGCCTCAGACACTTGACACTTACTAGCTGAATGACCCTGGCCAAGTCACTTGACCCCAATTGCCTCGCCAAAAAAAAAAAAGAATAACAATAAAATGAGGATGTTAAAACTTGCCCCATTTGTCTCACGTAGATGAGATAACAGGTATAGTAGTGCAATGATTGTAGACTAGAGCTGGAAGCAATGTTAGAAGGTTTCTAGTCCAACTCCCTTATCTTACAGATGGGGAACGTGAGGTCCAAAGAAGTGGCCACTTGTGTGACTACCAAGGTCACACATAAGCATCATATGGCAGAGTAAGGATTGGAACTCAGCTCCTGCCATTGCATCGCCTGTGAGCAGGCTTTGTAAACTGTAAAGCATGATACAAATGTAAGCGATTTGACTAACCGTAATTATACTGTGAGCTCCTTGAGGGCAGGGACTATTTTTTTGCTTTTCTTTGTATCCCCAGCATTTAGTACAGAGCCTGGCACAGAAGAGGTGCTTCATCAAGCTTTTTGACTGACCATTATTATTCAAAAAGCAAAAGGACTTTAAAAATAAACCGCAAATGTATTGTCCAAAAGATCTATAGTGTTGGCCTACTAGATAGGGTACCAACATGTAGAGAGTGCTCACGATTGTACCCTTAGGGAAGAGAAGAAACAACTGAGCTCAGCACCTAGTTAGCAAGACTAAAGCAGAAAGGTGTCAGGCTTCCTCCCCCCAGCAGCTGCATTCCAAGAGAGCTTCTTTCCCATCCTCTATCACAGTAGCCTCACAGTCTCTGGCTACCTTGTCGGGCCTTGTTTCTCTTCCAGGATTTCGTGCTCCCTCTGCCCTAATAAATTTGTCTTCAAAAGTTGGTTTGAGGGCATATTTTTGTCCTGTTTGCTTGGCACCAAAACTGAGTGGACACATTCCTCCTGCTTGAAATAAATCACTTATCAACTAGCTTCTAAAAATAGCGCCATTTCCCTTCTTGTATTAATTCTTTCAGGGACAAGAAATTGCCGAGCTTCGAGACGGTGACAAATAATGCTGTAATTTGTCATTCCTTTTCTTGCCACTGATCAGGACACGTGTTTCACCTGCTTTTTGCCCCTTGCCTCATTGCTGGCTTTGAAATCCAAACTGACTTCAAATGTGAATGTAACTTGACTAAAGGGATCCGATGAGCCCTTGGGAATGGTGCTCTTCCATAATAAACCTTTCTGCCCTTATTTTTAACCTCTGGGTATCATAGAACATTAGGGGTAGAAGGAATCTTGGAATTTGCATTTTCCTGATGAAGACACTGAAGTAGAGAGATGTGAAGTGACGTACTGAAGGTTACTCAGGACTCCCTGGCAGGGTTAACAGCTCAGGCCATCTGTCTCCAGGCCTTTACTTTTTCCCCTCTACCATAGCATGGTAGGCTAATGGTGGGCAAAACTGAAGAAGAACCAACCTACTTCCCTCCCTCCCTCCCTTCCTTCCTTCCTTCCTTCCTTCCTTCCTCCTTCCTTCCTTCCTTCCTTCCTTCCTTCCTTCCTTCCTTCCTTCCTTCCTTCCTCCCTCCCTCCCTCCCTTCCTTCCTACTTGACCGTGGAGGTAATAAGAAACCAATGGGTATTGAACCATTTAACAGGGGCATGACACAGTCAGACCTATGCTTTAGAAAAATCACCTTAGTAGCAAAATGTACAGTGGACTGAAGGGTGGAGAGCCTTGAGGAAGGAAACTAATTAGAGGGTGACTGAAATCATTCAAATAACAAGTGATGAAGGGTTGAATGAAGGTGATAGCCTCCTTTCTATTAATGTTCTTTTAAAAAATCATGTTTACTTCCCAATGATTCCCCTTTCTTCTACTCCCATGCTTGCCATGGAAGCCTCCATTGGAAAAAAAAAAGAATTAAGCAAAACAAATCAACAAAATGGCCATGTCTGACAATATATACACCTTATTCTGCTTCTAGAACACACCTCCTTTTTGTTAAGAGGAAAGAGGCATGCTTCATCATCAGTTCTCTGAAGTCACAATTGCTCACTGCCAAAATTGGTTGTTCCTGACTTATAACATGTCGTCTTCTCTCCACATACACAGCCACCACCCTCAGTTATTATTTCTCATTTGGACTATTGCAATTATCCTCTAATTAGTCTCTCTTCCTCAAGGCTCACCCCATTCCACTCCACTGTCCATGTAGCTACTAAAATGATTTTTCTAAAGCCTAGGTCTATGTCATGCCCCTGCTCAATGCTCATTGTTTCTTTATTAGCTCTTGGTTCAGATATAAACTCCTCCATTTCACATGCACAGCTGTTCTTTACCTGGCCCCTGACTACCTTTCCAGGGTTCGTACACTTTACTCTCTTCTATGTACTTTATGATCAGCTAGACTGGCCTATTTGCTGTTTCTCAAACATGCCATTCTATTTCCCATCCTGTGCTTTTGTACTGGCTGCCCCTCATTCCTGGAATGCTCTGATCCCTTTCACTGTTACCTTCTAGT